GAGGGCTCTCCAACAGCTCAGGGGGTACAAGGTGGTGCCAACCCCTCCAAGGAGCTGCACATCATCCCGTGGCTCTGCTGGCACCCCATCCCCTCCCCGGCAGCCTCAGCATCCCACAGGAATGGGAAGGAGCATGGCCAGTCCATCCCATCCCTCTCACCCTAACGACACCTCTGTCCCCAAAGCCCCTCCCGGGCTCTGGAGATATCCCAACAGGCACCAGGTCTGTCCCCAAAGGCACCATTGAGTTGTCTCAGACTCTTGGTCTCCCCCTAAATTCGCTTTATTCATATTTTTTCACTTTTTTTTTTCCTCCCTCAGCCCAGGGTCATGGTAACCTCTGCAGACAACCCCCCGCAGCATCCCTCTAATTGTCCCTCCTCGGATGCTCCTGCAGGCACCAGATGGCAGCTCCACCAGACCATTGGCTCCATCACACTACCTTTGACCTCTCCCTGGCTCTGGCACCCTGGACCACCGCAGTGGCTCCCGTGGCTCCCAGACTCGGGTGCTTTCCCTTGCACCCCCGGGATGATTATCAGGGAAAACAAGGCAGCTGTGATGGGAGAGATCCCGTGGCCGGTCCCTGCTCCGGGCTCAGGAAGCATCTCTCCACCAGCAGCAGGGTGACAACGCCAGCATTGTGCCACTCGCCGCACACATGTGCCCGCGGCTACGGGTGGCCGGGCAGTGACCACCAGCCATGGGCGTTCCCGGAGCGGCCTGGCGCCGGTGAGGAAGGGCAGGGATGAAGCTCAGACACAACCGGGAGTTGTTCCTGGGTCATGACATTTTTTATGGAGCCCATCACATACCTCCTTTCCCATGGCTTCGGGCTGGGTGGTGGAGCAGGGATGTGCCGTTGTGGCCTCATGGCTCAGGCAAGCGTGTCCTGGCCTGACTGGGCTGGTCTGGGCACCACTGTCAGCCTGGGGTGTGGGAAAGGGTCATGAGTGGTTTTGGGGTGGCTGGGTGAGATGCTGGTGGTTGGGTTGACTAAAATGCTGCATTCTGAAACGGCACAGTGCATGGCAGACACGCCGGGCTGTGCGTTAAGGGCAGGACTTACCTGCTTTCAACCATCTCCCCAAAATGATGGGCTTTGGGAGCAACCTGGTCTGGTGGGAGGTGTCCCTGCCCGGGGCAAAGGGTCGGAACTGGATGATCTTTAAGGTCCCTTCCAACCCACACCATTCTATGATTCTATATTTCAATCCCCATCACCCCATGGCTCAGTTTTTCCACCTAGAAAGTGAAATCCTTGTCCCACCTTTACACATGGAGAGGCTGTTTGGGAAGCACCGAGCACGGAGCATCCCCGTGGGTGCTTAAAGCCCTCATTTCTTGCATTTCCCTGGTGTCAGGGTGCCAGTGCTGGGGTTGCATCGTTGAGGGGTGTGTGTGTGTCTCTGCATATGGCAGCACCAGACCCACCATCTGCACCTTTGGGTGCTGATTTTGGCCGTCTGGAGGTGCGAGACGGTGGCCCCGGGGTGAGGCGTGAGGCCGCGTCCGGCCGTGGTTTTGGCTGGAGAAAGGGGCTGAGCTGCGAAGCCCCCTCTGCCACCCCAACCCACGGCTGCACGTACAGACACCCGCTCACCGCGGGGACCGGCACGGCTTTCTTAGAAGCCGAGGAGGGGGGCGGGTGGTGGGGTTAAAAGCGATGGGTTTTGCTAAACCAGAAATGCCTGGGTGGCTGCGGCGAGGGTGCAGGCGCTGGATGCTCTACCTGCACCTTGGCTGGGAGCGTGCAGCTGCAGGCTTGAGGCTTCTTGGTGGGGGGGTATGCACAAGGGGGGGAGCATTAAGCCTCGGTGGCTTTTTGGGTTTGCCCTTCACTCGCAACAACAGCCACAAAGTGAATCCAGAGCTTCAGGGTGGTGAGAGCAAGTGGGGAAGGGATGGGGCTGGGGGTCGCTGGTATTTTTTATTTCCTATCAATATTATCATCAGCAGGGAATATTCATCCTCCACCAAGGTGCCCGCTTGCCTCCATCCATCACGGAGCTCTGCCCGGACACGCAGGGAGCAAACCCACCCAAAAGCTGACCCCACACCATGGCTGCAGGGGAGAGCCGTGCTCTGGACAGGGGGGACCATCCCAGAGGTGGATCAATTGCATGAGAGCTATTAATCGGTGATTTTTAAAACATGCCCATTCCTGAGCCACATTCTGCAAGTTCAAACAGAACCACATCTTCACTCCCAGAAGCTCCCTCCATCGGTTTATATTGTCCTTTCTGGGGGGTAGGTGTTTCACCTCTCCCTGGCTCCATTTCCCAGCTCCCGTGGTAATACTGTTAATGAAAAAGGATCCATTTTTGTAAACGGATGTAAAAGAGCAAGAATTTAACGTGGGTTTGGTCCTTAAATTACTCTGGAGCCCCACTGGGGCTTTGGAGTGGAATTTTGGATCTCCACAAGGACCAGTGAACACTAAATCATTGGGGATGTGTGACTCTCACCTGATGCCAATAAATGTGTGTAATTAAGTGTGTTGCCAGGTTAATCTCCCTGACACACTGCCATTCCCACAGGAGTAACACTTGGAATACCCAGCAGGTTGTGGCCCCGTAACGCCCCTCACACCTGACTGCAGGAGCAATGGGGAGCACTTTGATTTAAATGAGGAAAAAAATACGATTTGAAGGGGCAGGAGGAGAAATTTTTTTGATAAAGCTTTATTCTGTGGATGACATGAGGATGGTCACCAGGACCAGATGTTCCGACTGGGCTCAGGACCACGTCCCTGGGGTGGTACGGCCTTGATTTAGGAAAAAGGGGGTGGTGGAAAAGTGATGGAGAAGAAAAGCTCCATCCAGACCTTCCCCAATTAGTGCTGCTGAAGGGTGTCTGGTCAGTGTGTAAATCAGCACAGCTGAATCAGAGCTCCCATCCAGCACCTAACGACATGGGGGGGTGGGAAGTTACTTTAAAAACACCTTCCCCTCCTCTTCCTCCTGATTTTTCTCTGCATCGACCCTGGTGGAACCCAATCCAGGTGAGGGCTGAGACTCCCACTGCCCTTCTGCAGGGAAGGGGTAGCAAAACCCAAAAATAGCCCCCAAAAAAATCTGAATATTGCCTAAGTGAATGTACAGATGAGCCAAGAGGCTTGTAAGGCTGAAGCAGGCAGGGGTGGCAAGTGGGATGCTGCTGGGCTGAGCCATTCTGTTCCCTGTGGGACCATGTTGGGGCCAGGGGACCGTGTCCCCCCGCTGTTGGGGACCTGGGGGGGAGTGATGCCACCGCTCTGGTAGAAATGGCTTCACTGCCTGTAGCCTCACACCCCAGGGCTGGAGCTGTGGTCAGGGTGGGTGTCTGGCAGCTGAGACAAGGGGATGCTGTTCAGTGCCACAGACCCCGCTCTGTGCAGCGGTGGGTGTTTTCCAGGCTGGGTTGTTTTTCCCTTTCCTTTTGTGCCAGCATTTGTACAACCTCTGCCCCTTTCACCGCTCTGAAACCACTTCCCCCACCTTCCCCCCTCTACTCCCCCCCCAGTTTTGCTTATAAGCAGCAAACAAGCAGTTTTCAGCTGCGGTAAATATGAGCAGCTCTATTTTTTCCCCCCAACCTCTAAGGATGCTGCAGGAATCTGTAGCATCTCAGCTGATAACATCTTGGTACATCCAACCGCCAACATCCATGGGATGGAAAAACTCAAGGGAGAATGGCAGTGGGGAGCAGGAAGGAGTGATGAACACCAAACTCTCCAAATACCTTGAAATCACACTCCTGTGCCCTGATGGCCAACGCCTTCTGCCTTGGGTCCTTTTTGCCTGCAGGTTTTGGTCACTCGGGCTTAGTTTGAGCGTGGTTTACTCCATCAGAGAGCTCCCTTTGCTTTTTCTTGCGAGGAGGAAAAAAAAAAGAAAAGGACAAATATCATCTCATGTTTCAATTCAACATTTCTTCCCATTTAGGGAAAATTCGTCTCCGAGGGTGATAATGGCAATTTTCTGTGTGAAAACCCACCAGCCCCAGGCGAGGCAGAGCCTGATGGTGGCTCTTGTTCCAGACGTGAGCACTCGTTGGGTGCTGGCGTTTCTGTGGTCAGGCAGATCTTTGGGTGCTCCTGGAAATTTCCTGTGTCTGTATTTGCTTTATTCCTTTAAAAAAGTCTACACAATTCTTTTTGCTGTTACTTGGGCGAAGCAGGAGGTCGGCCATCCCCACTGCCTTTGGGTGCTCCTGGAAATTTCCTGTGTCTGTATTTGCTTTATTCCTTTAAAAAAGTCTACACAATTCTTTTTGCTGTTACTTGGGCGAAGCAGGAGGTTGGCCATCCCCACTGCCTTCCTCCTCTTCATCCTCCTCCTCCTCCTCTCCACCTTCGCCGGTTCTTCCTCCGCAGCCAGCGCTGTTTATTCTGCCGCATGTGCTTCATATTTTTGCTTAATACTAATTCACATAAAAATCCCTGTGAAGAAGAACCACCCATCCACACATATGGAAGCAGTCTCGGCACGCAGTCCCCATACCCAGCTGGGAGTCGGAAAGCCGTGTACAGCTCAAAATTAGGATACAGACAAGTGGTGAATGTGGGAGAAAAGGCAGTTAAAAGGAGAAAACCACGGCATGTAAATGGGTTATTACTTCAATCACCCAATTAGGGATCTACGGGCTCTCTTCTTCGTTTCTTCTAAGGCAACAATATAATTAATTAAAGAGAAATGTCTCCTCTGCTCCCGTCTGTCACTCAGCGGCGGGTCCAAGCGAGCCTCCCATGAACCGCCGACTACAAACCATAGTACTGATAGTAAGAAAAATATAGAAGGAGGGGGGGAAAAAAAAAAAAAGACCCAAACCACCCTGACCCCAGCACCCCGACGCCGCAGCGATATCGCCGGCCCGTTGACGCCACGGATCAGGTGACGCCGCTCTCCCACCCAGCGGATGCCGAGCCGGCGGCTCTGCCGTGCCGACCACAGAACCACCAGCCAGCCGGGGCTACCTGCGCTGCCGGCGGGGCTTTCCTCTTCCTCCCCCTCGCTGTTGCCTCTCCCATCCTTCCTCTTCCTCCTCTGGGAGAACCGGGATACGGGACGAGGGGGATGGCTTCCAACAGCATCTTCGACTCCTTCGCCACCTACTCCTCCGCTTTCCTGCGCGGTGAGTACAGACCCGGCTCTTTCGTTCCTGGGGTGGCAGGAAACGTCGTTGGGTTTTGTATTTATTTTATTTTTTTTAATTTTTTTTTTTTTTTTTGGCAAGGAAGCAAACCGGCAGTGGGTTCTGATGCGGCTTTGCTGGCACCTCGCTCCTCGCCGCCGCTCGCCGGGGTTTTCTGCCGGCGCTGCGACGCTCCGGGTTTGGGTTGGGCGGGCCGTTTGCTGCCATTTATTTTGGCCCTGTATTTTGGGTTTCAGCGCCGGGAAAGGGCCGAGCGGGGCTGGGATCCATTTGATGCCTTCGTCCGAGTCGTTAGCTGGGTGCAGCCCGGCGGGCAGCAAAAATCTACAGAAATGGAAATTGCTTCTAAAGCAAAACCAGTTTGCAAGGGGAGAAGAGCTGAGGGAGATAAGGGCTTCACTCAAGCTTACAATTTTATGTTTACTTTTATATAATACTCTAAATGTGAAAACACATGGCAACTCTTTATCTAGTGTTTTGCTAAATATATAACTCCGTTGGGTGATTCATTTGTTCACCCTGTTCTTCTTGGCCTCTCTGTGCACCCCGGGACACGACAATCTCGTCCCTCCTGGTCACCTTGAGATGGGCAAACTGCCCATGAGAAGGGGTGGCTTCTCCCCAGACTTCTCCTCCTCTTCATCCCAGCTCTCAGCAGTATCTCACGTCCCCAAAATGGAACCCGCCTTCGTCTCACAACTGCCGTCTCGCTGTGGGAGCTCGGGGTGAACTGGGCTGGAGCTGCTGGGACTTTGGCGTCTGCAGAGATCTTTTTGGGGAGAAACTGAGGCCTTGCTAACGCATGGGGCAGAGCTCGGTGCACCCATGACTTTTCCCTTCCCTACTTTGTCCCTGTGGGTCTGGAGCAAAAGCTTGAGCTGGTCATGGCTTTAAGGACTCAGGTCCAGAGTGGTGGCTTGGCACATCGCGCCCAACCCCAGCAGATCAGGGGAGGGGAGTTGTAAATCCCTACCCAGAGAGCAGAAGGCAGCAGGTCATCTAGAAACGCGTCGCTGCAAGCCAGATTTTGGCCTATTTTTGAGACCACAAAAGGTTACGTGTCCGCTTGAGGCGGATGGGTGGTGTCAACCTGCGTCACCACACCTCCTTGGCTTTGAGTTGTCTTCTGAGCAGAGGGTGTTGGAGAGGCGGCAGAAAGAGCTGGGGATGGGGATGCAGATAGGGATTGGGGGGTAAATCCGGACCAGCTTCCCCGGCCCCATCATGGATACACCATGCTGGAAAACAGGGCAAAGAGGCAAAATGGCCACCTTCATCTTAATGCCCTCTGCTCGGAGATGGTGGCATTATAAATGTGCTCTTTGTACTCCGTGCAGCTAATTAAAGGCAGTCCCATGGCAAGGAAATAAGAGAAGTTTATAAAAAACATTTGCATGGTTCTTTTTAATCTATACTTCTCCCTCCGCAAGCCAGATGAAGAAATGCCGGGGTTTAACTGGGCTTGCTCATTTAAAAATAAAAAGAGAGCGAGAAACAGAAATATCACGTCTTGTATGCAATTTCCATACAAATAGGAACTCATAAAAGCAATAAACATCTTTGTTTCAGACATAATTTTTTATTAAATGGGGGAGAATTAAATGATTGCACCAAGGATGGAATATGGCCAAATGGTGAAACATTTGGTTAGTATTAGGACAAGAAATCCTTGTTTTCTTTAAGGAGCTCACTGTGTCTTCTCCTGCCTGGCTAGATTTGGGTGAGTACTGCAAAACATTCATGAACGTTCATTTAAATTCCTCATGGCTTTGGGGGATTCGACCGCATTCATAGTTTTTGTTTGCTTTTCTGGGCACATCCATGAAAATGGGTGTTTGTTTGCGCAAATATTTAAGGAATGAAACGAAAAATCCCGAAGGTATTCACTAGTTAGTCTAGAAATGCCTTTTTTTTTTTTTTAATATAGAAAAGGGATTTTTCAGCTTTCCAATGGGGTGGGCGAGGGAGACCCACGTGGGAGAGCAGCACCAATCCCTGCTCGCACGCCCTGCGTTCACAACCAAGTGAAATATCTGGCGGGGACTGAAATAAATTTGCCTCCAGTCAATGGTTTTGGGGATGTAAACCCATTTTTTGTGGCCAGCGCCAGCTTGACCTGGTGTCTGCCTTTGCATCTCCTCGCTTCTCTTAGAGACCAGCCAGAAGGCATAAGATAAACTGGGCTGAACTGGGTGGACTCTTCCCTACTAGTCCCAAGAGCTGAGCCTGGTGGTGGGTGCTGGTTTGGGGTCTCGGTGCAGCACGTGGGACCTGACCGAGCTGCGGCCGTGCTCCTCCATGGGGCTACCAAACACTTTTCTATCCTTTTCTATTCTTTTTTGCAAGAAAAAAAACCAAAAACCTTCATCTTTTTCTGCTCCATCTAAGCACCCAATGGCTCAGCTCCTGGCTCTGGCTGTGCCCCCCCTGGCACCTTCAGAGCCACCATCCTGATGGCAACTGGTCGCATCTAAGTCATCAAACCACAAATGTCACATCCGTGAGTCAGTTCTTCGCTACCGATGGCTATCGGGACTGGGAGGCCTCAGCCACAGGGGCTGGTTTCTCAGCAGCCACCACTGTGTCTTCAGTGGAAATCTGAGGGGACAACCATGGGGTGAGATGCCACCGAGGGAGGAGCAAGGTGATGGTGGCTCAGATGTTGCCAGACCTTCCGGCTGAGGGTTGAGAGTTGTTTTGCCCCAGGATGAGCCCTACAAAGGCCACAGGCTGGGTCCTCTGCTCAGGGTGTCCATGCTGGGCTTCTTCACTTCTCCCATGCACAGGTTGCTAATGTTTGACCTTTTTCCCTTGGTTTTTGTGACTCTAAAAGCATACAGGAACAGCTCACAAGCCGTCACCATCCATCCCTGCTCCCCAGTGGAAATGAAACGGTGTTATATGATTTCTTTTTTTTGCTTCTTTCTCCATCGCGTTGGTGTCCTCGTGGGCACCTGCCCTCACCTCACCGCCTTCCCCAGGTGGCTTCATGCCCTTGAATGGGAGGCAAAGGGCATCAAACCTCGGTCCTGGCATCCAGGGAGGGAATTTTACTGTTTATTTTGCAAATGCAGGCCTGTAGGTGCACTCTCAGCCCTGTTGGGCCCTGATTCAGTGTTCGTTGCTGTCCCAAAGGAGCTGGGACTGATCCTGGGGTTTAGTCCCTGCTTTGCTCCTTCTCCTGGGGTCTCCGGGTCCTTGCCTTTGGTTGATCGTAGCAATTTTCCTCCTGTCTCTGCACCTTCTTCTCTGCTTGGCTTAAGGGAGCAAGATATCTATGTGGGCACAAGTCCCTGAGGGTCCCTGCTGGCCCTTCACAGCCTCGTTAGCCTAATGAACAGGCAGGGTTCTGCCTAAAGCAGGGAGCATGGGGATTTGGAGCATCCCCATGGAGCTGCTCTGCCCTCAGGGAAGGCAGTGGAGCTGTGGTCCTGTGCAGGGCAGCCTTGTCAGGGGGGTCTGAAATGACCCCCAAGAACATCACCTGTCCCGTAGGGGAAGAAATGAGCTGTGATCCCATGGGGAACCCACTCCATCCCTGGAACACAGTGCTCAGATGGACAAACTGGCTTGTCCTGGTCCCAGACCTGCCCCAGTAGATGTTGGAGGAGGAGCAGGAGGAAACCCTGTGGTGGTGGAGCCAGTGCTGATCACCTCTGGCTTCTGAAAGTGGGTGATAATAACTGCCTGGTGCAGTGAGAGGGTGTTATTTTTTCTCTGGAAGGTCACTGAGTCCGTGCCTTTCCCCAGTTTGCCACCAGCCTGGATTAGTCAGAGTTTCACAACTGCTGCACTGGGGGCTTGGGGTCCTGCTGGGGCTGGTGGATCCTGGGGTGTGGGAAAGCTGCCCCGATGCTCCAGCCATACCCTGGTGCTCCAGATGTACCCTGGTTCTCCAGCCATGCCCCAGCATGGTCTCTTTTCCTGCTGCTCTTCCATGTCACCAGGGGCTTTCCTTGCCTGCCAGGGTGGAGGTGGTGGCCCCAGCTCGCCCCAAGCAGAGGTTTCTTTTTCCACCCTTCCCGTAACTGGCCACTGCAGGATTCCCGCTCGGCAAACTTCCTTTTAATGGATTTCTGTGTTTCTTCCTAACCACAGAAAACTCTAACCCTGGCAGTATTTGGAGTCGTTTTCTCCTCCTCCTGCCACGCCGTGCTCTGGGCAATGCCTCTGGAGGAGGCTGGGTGAGCAGGCACCGGGTCTCACCGCGCATGTGTGATGGTGTCACCGAGCTCTGCCATCGTGTTTCCCTAAAGGCAAGAGTTTTGTCTCATCCTAGAGCACCCATGGGGATTTTTTTTAATTTTTTTTTTACATATGGGCAACCTCCAGCACGACAACAGTGCATCGCACTGGGATCTGCGGTGCTCGGGCACTGGGATGGGAGGCAAGAGCACACGGAGCATCCCTGCCTGCAGCTGGACAGGTTATCTGTGTTTGCAGGGGGGGAGGAGCAAGGCAGAGGAGGGAGGGACACCCCCAGAAAGTATTCCCATGAGTATTGCAATCTCCATGAACATTTGTATGTCCATGGGCATTGTAATACCCACAGATGGTTGCATGTCCATGAGCGTTGCACACCCAAGAGCTCTCCTACAGTCATGGCTCAGCCCGAGCCCCTGCAGCCCCAACCCCTCTGCAAACCCTCCTTCTGCCCCCCCAGTTCTCCAGAGGTATGGGGATCCCCAGTGCCACCCCAGCCCTCGTGCCAGGGCCCCGATGCCCAGCACCACGTGGCCACGAAAGCTGTTTTGCCTCCATTCATCCTCCCCTCCCAGGGAAAGCTTGTGCATTCGGAGCTCGTTGGCTCCTGATTGACTGTCAGTGGCTTTGCCTTTTCCAAGGGCACCCTGCTGACTGGTGGCATGTCATTTTTTTCTTTTCCTTTTTCTTTTTTTTTTTTTTTTTAAATATATTTGTGTGTGTGTGTGGGAAGGAGTATAAATCCATTGTCTCTCATCACCTTGTTATGATCGAAT